TGCGGCAGGCTGTGGGCTACTGGGTGTTAGCTGTGCAGAGGGAGGGATGCTAGTGCTGCCTCTGTGCGCTGGCCTTTTGGTTCCGGGACTGCATGAATGCAGCAGCGCTGCCTTCAGCTTCAGTTCAAGCCTGGAAGCATCTGACTGCTTTCCCAGAGCAGGTAGATCAGTTCTTAAGACATCCCCTTGTTTCATGCAGAAAGAGCTCCAGTGTTATTGCACTTTTGCTTCTGTAAGAGTGCTTAGGGTTGCAGTATGAACATGGGTAGGTGACCTGGTGTCAGCCTGGATTCAGAAGGAGCCAAAATTAATATCCCACCAGTGGGACTGACTCTTGCAGTGTCTATTGGATGCGTCTACCACATGTCCTTCAGGTTCAGTGCTTCAAGTTCTGGGATAGGACACTAGTTCTGGTACATATATTTCTTGTCTGGAGTTTCTACTCACCTTGCAGCGAGATGCTGGGCACACACAAAGTGTACAGAAGCAGACTTGGTTACCAGGTTTTGCTAACTTTATTTAGAGCTGGCTGAGCCAGATTTTTAACACACTCTCAGTTACCTTTGCATGTGTCTGCTCTGTGCTTTCCATAGGTCTAGCTCTTTGAGTTTTCCCACTGTTTAATATATCCCAGTCCATGTTATCTAATATATTTGAGAATGAAGAGCAAAGTGAGAGGGAGTGCTAGTATCAGAAGTATCAGGATAGGGATTGATTAAAAAAGGAGAAGACTTCACACAAATCCTCCTTCTTTTAGAGGAGGATTAAGGAAAAACAGGAATGTTTATCTTGCTATTCTCAATCTGCTTGAGACTGCCTATGTAAAAACCTTTGCTTGAGAAATGGTATGAAACCAAGAGCAGGAACTGATTTAAGGAAGTAGGAGAGAGAGCTTCTCTAAATTTAGCTTGCAAAAATCATGAAACTTCCAGTCCTTGGGAACATTAAAGAATCCATAAGAATTCAGTTAATGTCTTCTCTCTATATATTAATTAAGGTTTAATAGAAAGTTAATACCGAGTCTTGGGTTTTTCTTAGAAAAAATACAGAAAAGTCAATTTAAAGTTAGTCTTAAAAAGATGAAAATTTTGTTTGTTAACCCAGACAACCAAAAAAGAGGATCTCTTAGTTCTTAGAGGACCTCTTAGTACAGCTTGTGTTTAAGTTCGTTTCAAAACTTTCCTGGTTCATGCTTAGCATAACTGGGCTGCAACATTGCAAGTTTCTTCATATACGCTCCCAAGTTGTACTCTTCTTTCCAGTTTTTGAGTTAATCCTTGGCTATAGGACTTCCTTGAACACTTCCAACAGCTCTGTGGGTTTGTCAGCACTTAGAAGCTTACTCTTGCCGAGTGAATTATGTTTACAGCAACAAAATTATATTTGTGAAATAGGTCTGTCCTACTCTGAATGAAGGAGCCTGTAAATCTACAGACTTACGAGCTCTTCTGACAAGCCTTTTAGTCAAAGACCATTATGCATAGCAGTCTTCCATCAAGACAAGCTGCTCTGCCTCCATGAAGTCTTTCTTTTGTGAGATTGAGGCTTACTTTAATGCTAAACTTGGCATATCTTGGTGTCTGTATGATGGACACTTGATAAATAACTTCTCATGTGTTCTCATTTCTTTTTGTAACTTGACAGGAGAGGGAGCATCAAATTTATTGGATCAGTTACATATATTTTTATTCATTTATAAAACAATTTCATATAAATTATATAAGAATATATATTTTAAGTGGACAGTAGTAACTCCTTTACTGAGCTTATTGACTGATTTTTATTTCACTATTTTCGAATCCTATAAGGAAAAAAACATGTTTAGGACACTGATGGTGTCTTGTTTCCATAAAGATAAGTTGCTATGGGCACTATTGTTTTTATGGAGTGTTGTGGAGTATTTTGAATAATGAACTTCAGAGTTTTAGATTGATGAGTTTTAATATTATAGGATTAGTAGTGATATAATGATAGCTGAGTATGGGATTTTGTTTTCCTGTTCTGCAAGTTCTTCTACAAGTTCTTTTGAACTCAAGTCATAATATAGGTAATGATTTAATGTAATGACATAATGACTTGAGTGATGAAGCAGAACAAGCAGACTGGAAACTCATGAAAGAAAGATATTTTTATGAGGTACTGTAGATATACTGAGGAGAAAACAGCTTGATTTTTATTTAGGTTAATTTTACTTACGAAAGGGGACCATGTGTAATTTTGCAAAACAGCACTTTTGTTTTCAGGTTATACAAATAGTCCTGGCAGTTTAAGTAGTCACATTTAAAACTGACAATAATGACGAAGGGTTTTAATGATCAATAAGTGTTATCCAAGCTGTGAAACTTTTGGATGCCACTTGCTTTAACAGCCCTCTGTAGGGCTCCAGACTAAGATGTGCAATCAGTTGCCTATACTGCTTCCAGTTTGGAAAGAGATGCATTGTGGTTATCAGCTAAGCCAAATCTTCCCAAACTTTGAGAAAAATAGGAGCACAGAACAAACAGAAGTGCTGGTAGGTAACTACAAGCCCACCTGAGGAGAAATCTTTAGGTGGCAATTAGGTGGCAACTGGACTCTTTAACAGCTGTGTGTAGTGCTTCTTTAAGAAATATGAAATGTATAGAGCCCTTTCTTTAGCAAAAATCATTATGTAGTACCCTCTAGCTTGCTGAAATAAGCTTAATTCTCAGTTAGTTTTCTATTTTTAGAGTTTTTAGTTCCAGCTGAACGTTGCTAGAACTAGCTCCTTTTTCAGTGAAGATTTAAAGTTGCTAAAGTTCTAAAAATATCCATTGTAAAGACAAGAGCTGTGGCTCAGGTGTTGTGAACTATGTAAATTCTCAAGGTTGAGGTGGTGTGCAAGAGCTTGGCTGCCATTGACAGTGGTGATCTGTTGGTGATAAAAAAAAAATACATTTTATGCCACAGCTGTCTATAAAATATTGCATGACTGAAGAGACCAGCAGTCTGGTTTGGTGCAAGCAGAGAATCAGTTGGAAGAGAATTACACCATCCAGGTTACTTAATATAGTCTCTCTTTTTTTCTCTCTCCTTCCTCTTTCGTTTATTGTCAGTCCAAAATCAATAGATTTTCAGCACAGAAGAAAATCTTAGTATTTTGTGATTGCAAATCCCTGGTTTCTCCTCATTATAAGAACCACATGCAGGGAGTTCTGAGCTAGGCAGATTTGGACTTGACCCATTTTGGTGGTTCTTGCTTTCAACCAGATAGAACATGTAAACAAAATGTTTTGTATGACAATATGTCATAAAAAATGTATGACAATGTCATACATTGTCATATGACAATGAGTGTTTCTTTTCTAATACTGCAAAAGAGTATCTAAATGTTCTTTCTAGTGTTAGTGCAAGTGCTCATTAATAAAATAATTTAACAGAAAGAGTAATAAGAATTCAGAAGACTACCATAATATATGTAGTTCTTTGTAAGATTTGGCTTAGGAATACAGTTAAATGCTTTCCCTCCTTCAATTTTCAGTCTGAAGAGTGGTAGGAGAAGTGGAGCATAATGAATTAGTGAGATTAGACAGTAATTGATTTAACGAGGCAAAGATGCTCTGATAGACTGATGATTTTTCATAGTCCCGCAGGACAGGATCATGCATTAAATCATCATTGACACAGAATTACATATGAACTGCAGAACTTGCTGATAGTTTTATTATATGGCTTCAGATATTACTGCAGCTGAACAAAGCACTTAAGTATATTAGGTATTATGTAAAATTTCTGAAGTATCTTAAAAAAGCATATAATATTAATATCAAAGTAATAGGAACACGAGCAGTACTTCTGAAGTCTACCGTCAAGCAAAGAGAAGTAGCCCTTCTGTTAACGTAGCATTAAAATTCAAATTAATAAGGTAGAAAACAAAGTGACAAAGTTAGGCACATCCTAGCAGTAACTGAGAATATGTGTATACTGCGAAAAGTGATGAAAAAGACTTCCTGCTCTCAGTAGCCAAGATCTACCAAGCTCTATAAATTAATTCTGGTTAACACATCTTGTTGTACAAAAGCTGAAAAATGGAAAAGAATGAGTAGATAATTGCAAAAAATGAGATATTTCTGAGTTCTGTTCATATATACATTTCTCTCCTGAAGGGTAAAGAGGTTTAAAAGAGACTTTCAATGAATACTGGAAGAGATTTGCTTTTTGGATATAAAGGCAATGAAAAGGCATTTAAGGGTGATCTGTAACCACTATGTTTAATTTACTAGGCACTTTGCGACCTATTTCTCCATGGCGCTGGCTTTTTTCAGTCTTGGTTCCACTAGTGATTGCTACACAGGGTTTTAAGAAGAAGAGTCTTGATCACAGCGGTGCTTTGGGAGGTATGTTTTTTTCCTGAAATTATTAAACTACATACTCAATGAACTAAATTAAGATCTTGTAAAATGTCTATAATATTCCTTTAAGGCTTTCCAAACTAGTCCTATAATGGCAAAAATGTGTAAGCATTTGTATCTTGAATTCATACTTTTTTTTTTTTAAACCGATTTATATAGTGGTTAGGTTTTCTGCTGCTGTTTGTGATTCTTTTGTTGCAGGTAAGGTAGAGACATGAGGTCATAGATACTTTGGACCCTGCAGGATCATACATATTTTGGGAGAAACTGCCCAACACGGGATTTTTGTTTTGTTTTCACATACCTAGAGATAATGGAGTGAAAGAGGCAGTGGTAAAGAAATACCACAAAACTGAGGTGTGTCAGCAACTTGTCTGCCTGTAGGATACCAGTAAAGACAATGAGGTGGTTCTTCTGGATGTTTTTTGCTTCCCAAAATCATAAGGAAGTTAAACTTTAAAGAGATTCTTGTTTCGAGAGAGTTTTTCCTTGACCAGATTGCCCTCGTCCCTGAGGCATGGTTCATGGCAAGGTTCATGCCGAATCTTTGGCGGGAGGTGCTTGACCTTCGTCTCACAAAGCTGTGTGAATTGATAGTCAGTGGAAAGAAACAGGATTGCAAATCTTTTCCTCTCATCTTGCAAGTCTCTTCTTTTGTCCGTGAGTTAAGAGGCAGTGTTTCCTGATTAGAAACCATCTCTGCTTTTCTGCCACACTTTTACCTCTTAAGGTATTTCAGCTCTGTTAGACACCTCATGCTGGCTTTTAGTTTAAGTGCTGCCAATTTTCTTTCAGTCCTTAAGAATTGTAATATCTGGATGAGCAGTAAGAATTGGACCTCTCTGTCAAAAGTGTGGAGGAGGAAGTAAGAAAGAAGTATGTGTAGGAGCTCAAATATCTAAGAAAACTACACCAAAAATGGCAAAAATAAGTGCCAAATATGAAAATGAAGAATTGAAGGGAAAAACAGCAACTGTTAAATTGTGAAGGGGGGTTAACCAGACTAGCTTAAAGAGCCCCTGACAATTGAAATGGTCCCCAACCTGGAATTAAATTTGCTGGTAGAGCTACAGCCACAGCTGTATGTCTGCTTCAGGTACAAACAGTGCATTTTTTTTTTTTCAGGCAGAGTGTGTACATTTTGATTTAGATACACTTCAGCTTTTTCTTGCTGCCCTATAGTTTATTTTTGCACAGCATTTCTGAATATTGGCAATACAAGAGAAGGTCTGCAAAAAAAGGAAACTTAAGCACTAGGGAAAATTTAAGACAATTTTTTTTTTTTAAAAAAAAAAAAAAAACTTCTTTTCAGTCAAGATGTCCTTAAAGTTCTTCTAAGGGTATTGGGTACTTCAGCAGTTCTCTTAGTGCATGATTGTCTTGTTGAAAGTTTATCATGCAGATATCATTGCGCGTATTTATGAGATTCAGAACTGTAATTCCTCTGCAAAGTAGTAAGTCCATGAAGTAACTTTTTTTTTTTTTTTTTTGTAGGGCTTGTGGTTGGATTTGTCCTTACAGTTGCAAATTACAGTTTCTTCACTTCTTTGTTTGTATTTTTTGTTACTTCTTCAAAACTTACCAAATGGAAAAAAGATATGAAGAAGAAAATAGATTCAGAGTACAAAGAAGGTAAGTCCTAGTATTAATTCCTTTGCATCCTCTGTGGAAAGTAAATGCTTCCTATTTCCCTTTGTTTCAGTGGGTGAGAGGAGACACCACGCTCCCAATAAGGAACATTGTTGTTTCTCCCACCCCAGAACATGAGTTGTTGATAACCTACTTGGCTTCTGTGTACCATCTAGTTGATAAACTGTTAACTAATTTTTGTTTTGAATGCATGTGTCTCTTTCTTAGTTCTAGGTGTTTGTATTTTACTTCTACCTAATGCTATTGTGTGTAAAGGTGTTTTGCTCGCAAATGCTATTTTTTCTTTTCCCTTTAGGTGGGCAAAGGAATTGGGTGCAAGTCTTCTGTAACGGCGGTGTTGCCACTGAGCTGGCCATCTTATATATGATAGAAAATGGCCCAGGTGAAATTGCTATAGACTTTTCCAGACAGTACACGGCATCATGGATGTGCTTATCCCTTTTGGGAGCATTGGCATGCTCTGCTGGTGACACGTGGGCTTCAGAGATTGGTAGTGTAATGAGCAAAAGCCAGCCGAGGTTGATAACAACCTGGGAAAAGGTTCCAGTAGGTAAGGAATTCCATCTTACCTGTTCATATCTTAATATTTTATTGATTTGTTTTGACCTGTGTATCCAACCTAAAGTTCCCTCCAGAAAAAACCAAACACCAAAATTATGGGATTAGGAAATTTTTATTAGGAATTAATTCTCCAAAATTGCATTTATTCAGCTTTGTTTTTTACTGCTGTCTCATTTTGATAATATACCAGTATATAGTATGCTATGAGCTAAAATCTTTCTAAGTGAATTTTGATAATCCTTGTTTTTGTTTTAAAAAAGAGGTAAATGTTACAGAAAACTTGCTTCTTAACCAAATAGTCATTTCTTTTAATATCTTATGAAGGGCAGGTTGGAAAACCTTCCCTCTGTGGAACCTGGTCTCCACAGTGGGTGGCATTGCTGGTGACTGCTGTGTGTTTTGTTTTGTTTTGTTTTTTTGTTTGTTTGTTTGTTTGTTTGTTTTTTGAGTCTTGCCAGTGTATTGATCTGAGTTTGGGATCTTGTGGGACAGGATTTAAAGTGGTGTGCATTCTTTTTTCTTTAAGTACTACTCAGTTTTCTTTTCTGTAAGCTTCAAAAACCTTTCCCTGGATTTTGGTCTTACCTTTAAAAATGTCTTGATAAACCTCTTCTGAGAGAGAGATTGTTTTAATAGTGTGCATGCTTGGAACTCTCTATATGTTGGCAAAAAAGAGCCTGTAAATGTCTGTTTGTAAATTAACTTGACTGTGTTTGATTTAGGTACTAATGGAGGAGTCACTTTAGTGGGCTTGTTCTCAAGCTTACTTGGTGGCACAGTGGTGGGTGCCACATACTTCCTAACACAGGTCATTTTTGTGAGTGACCTGGATATATCTGCTCCGCAATGGCCAGGGGTTGGGGTCGGTGCAGCAGCCGGCCTGCTGGGCTCCCTTGTGGACTCCTACCTGGGAGCAACGATGCAGTACAGTGGTAAGATTATTCTTCTGTCTTCCCCCTGCGCCTGTGTAACCCCCAAGTTGACTTTAAAGGACTGGGGAGATGGTTTGTAAGTTGAAAAAATACGGAAATAGTAACACAAAGGCTGAAGGAGGCCCAAGTGATGGGCATGATAACGAAAAGATCCAATTGCAGGTGGTGCAAGATATTTGTATCTTCCTTTGACCACACTTTGATTTTTATCTTATGTTACTCTCTCCTGTCCATCTGAAATTATATCCATATTGTAAATAATCAAGCTAATGGAAAGATTTTGTGTTATCCTTCATATCTCTGCTCTGAATCTAAGTTTTGTCAGCATTTGCATTATGTATTTATTAAAGAAGTCCCCTGTTTTTCTCTCTCAAGAAAACTTGCTAAACTATAGCAGTGTTAAGAGTTAAACCATGAGGATTTGGCACTTGACTTTTGGTAGCCATTAGCCAAAGCTAGATTTAAATATATGATTTAAAGGTAACAGCAACCCCAGATGTTTAGTCCTCAAGCAGATTTGTGTTTGTTTTCTTTTTTTCCAGAGTTTTCTGTGTTGTTCTTTCGGTTGGTTTTGCAATAAAGCCAGAGGTCATAATGAATTACCAATGTTGTCAGTATTAGCAGATACTCAAATCTATGGGGAAATATAATGCTGGCGTAAAACATGCTCATCTGTTCTGCAGTGTTTCCTAAAGCCAGCGTTAAGTATGGGCGTCTGCACACACCTGGTTAGCACTTCACTGTAGAGAGAGCTGCCATTAAGGTTTGATGTTTTTGTCACCAAATGGAATAGCCAATTTGGCCAAAAAAAACAGGGTAACTGTGCTTGCAGGATGACAGCTAATGAAACACAGTGCTCAGTGTATAGCTAGATATGTTGAAATCAGCCTTTATTAGGAGTTTGTTTGCTGTCCGATCAAGTAACTTCTATTATTTAACTTTGAAAACAAATACATCTTTTTGACAGGAATATACATTTTTCCGGTTAGTTGCTTCTGTTCTGTGCAAAACATCATCTCTTGCTTTAGAGTGGCTCTTGGAAAAGCTTTTACCTCTTCTGATTTTGCTCATGCTTCGTACCTTTTCTTGTTATGGTCCTGTGACAAAAGAGGCATAAATCTTCAAAAGAAGTAAAGTATAGCATTTATATCCAATTATTTGAAACTGTTAAATTAAACCATAATTTAGTTAGTTAGGTCAGTTGGTGCCTTTTCACAGGGGTGTTGATGCTGTAATTTTAAACCAAACATTTTGGGAAGTTGCATGCACTTGTTTACCAAGCATCTTTTCAGCTTGGTTAGCTTTGTAATTCAAAGTATTGTCTTTTTCTCAGGTTTTGACAAGAATCTTGGCATGGTTGTCAACCACCAAACAAAAGACTCCAGGCACATCTCTGGAAAACCTATTTTAGACAACAATGCAGTAAATCTTTTTTCTTCTGTCATCATTGCCTTGGTGCTTCCAGGTGTGGCATGGGGCTTCTGGCCAAGAGGTTGAGAAGGCTGCAAGTTGTTCTGCATGGATTTGTTACTGCTTGGCCTTGCTGAAAGCCTCTCTGGAGGCTCTGGAGGAGAGGGCTGTGCAAGGGCAGAGCCAAAGGATCTCCCCTCGCAACCTCTCTAGGCTGGAGCTTCATGGGGCACTTGCCGTCTGGGCGGGCCAGGAAGGGCTTTTATCAGGAGGCTCTTGCAGCTCTTTGAGTGGGTGTCAATCACTGCCAAGCGAGACAAAGCACTTGATTTATCCTGGTGGAGCTCAAGTCGGCTCTTGTATTTTCTACAATGCACACAATGTGAAAGAGCAAGAAACTGGAATTAGAAGCTTAATCTACAGCTACCAGGATGGGGAAATATTGCGGCTACTGCCCAAGCCCAGCACAAAGTACTCTACAGCTTGAGGTTGGCAGTGGTGACATGCGTGAAATCAATGAATTCTGGTTTAGTCTTTCCCATGATCTCCTGTAGGATGTAAGATTTTGTAGAAATATTTTGAAATTTTAAAAAAGGTTAAAAAGTATTTGAAACATAAGACTAAATTTAAAATAAAAAACATAACATTTTTTTCCAGTAAGAAGAATAAATATATTTTTCATTTGGTACAAATCTTTAAATTCTTTATTTCCAAACTAAAAATATAAGGATTGTTAGCACTGTTGTAATGTGGTACTTATTAAATTATCTAAAACTAAATATAACAGTTCATTAATTTTTTTTTTTATGACTTGGCATATTGCCCAAACCGCTCTCTCTGGGTTCTTCCTCTGTAGTGTAAATTTTTTCCCTTTTGGTTGGGGCGGCTTTTCAGAAGGGACAACCTCTGCAACTACTTTGATTGAGACTGTCTTCATTGGGAATGGGGAGAGTCTAGCGTACAAAACATTTCAAAATGAGATTTTAACTTCTAGTGCTCAGACTGCTCTATTAGAATGGTTCATCTTTAACTATTAATTATAGAAGATACAGAAGTAATTTAGCACAGATTTTACTGAAAAACTAATGAATACCGTCTTCATAACCTCTCACTGGACACATTCAGAAGGTAGAGCCTGTACAGTTAACTTAGGAAAAAAACCTCTTTATCTTGATAGATAGGTAGATGAATATTTTACATTAAACATCAGATTTTAACAAATGCACTATGTATGTTGCCTGTCCTAATTCACTTCGGTTATACACGTGCCACTCTTAAAAGAGAACATCATAAATATACCTTCCATTTTGAGTGTACTTGATTGAAATTTGACCTATATAAAACTAGAGGTTAGCACTGGAATATCTAGACTGTGATATCCAGTTATGTATACAAGATTTCAAACTAGTGAACCCTTTCTGAAAAGAATAACTTTGTGGCTGCTGTACTTCAGTGTTCAAGGTGCAAAATTATAGAAGGAGAATATGCACTTTAACTATAAACAAAAGAAGTTTTTATGCATTAATTGTATTTATTCTGCTTCTAAATAAACACTCTTAATCTTTTAAAAGATTTTATTAATACTGTTTGGATTTCTGGAATTAATACAATGAATTTCTGTAAGATAATTTTTCTTTTGATTACATGGCTTATATTTTTAAATACTTTTGATTCCTGAGACAAAATACATTTTCAAAGCCTGAAGTAGATGTAGTCAATTTTTTATTAATTGGGTCGTACTCTTGAAACAGCTTGCAGCAGTGAGAAGATAGCTGTGGGTTTAGATTCACAGCAGCAGGAAATGCTTTCATCTGTTACCACATGAATTAGTGTGATCTGAAAGAAGTGCCGCAGGTAGGACTTTCAAAGACCCTTATTCAGAATTTTGTCATGTTTTCTTAGCAATGACACTGGATTGCTTTTGGAATTCCCACTCCTAAATTTTCAGTGTTTAGGAAGATCTGGGTGCTCTGATGTGGACAATGTTAGCCCCGGGAGTGGGACTAACATTGGAGTTATGTATTACTTACATTCACCTCGTTTCATTTAGTAGCTGTTGAATTGTTAGTGTGTTTACTTTGTTTTTGAGGAGAAAACACAGGGAGAAAGTTAAATGTCCTCTAAAAGTGGCTTGTGTGTTTCGGAGTGGATATTGGGATCAGAGAGGAGCAGGCGGGAACAGCACCTGCCCCCGCGGTGTGTGGAGTAAAGGAAGTAAAACACAAGTGATGGAAACAGGAGGAGTTACAATAAAAATAGAAGGGAACTTCTGGAAAGGGTTTGAAACTGCAAAATAGGTCAATGCACCAAGCAAATTTACTTTCATCCCTTAGAAACATTTCGATGTTTATTTTCTTTTGGAACTTTGGGAATATTTAGTTCGAGACACCTGTCACTAATTTTCCTTTCATTCTGAAGCTGCACTAATATTTCTATAGCATTAAGAGGATACAGAGAGAGAGATAGATGTGTTTTTTTTTTTTTAACTGAATGCTTAAAATTATGAAGGATTGAACCTCGTTCTTACTGTGATTTTTAGATGTTATGCAAGTTCAACTAAAAGTGGGTTTAACTACAGTTATGACACAATTTTTGCTTAATAAATAACATATACTGCAGTCTCCTTGTGCATGCAAATTTTTTAGCTAGATTTAGCTTATGCTTGGTGTATTGATCATGATACTGGTATGACAACCACTAATAGCAAGAATTATTTTTGTAATTCTTTTTATTTTGCTGTTTTGACTGACATTTAGGCATCTGCCCTTTTTGACAATAAAGGGTTGAACACCCTAAAAACTATCGACAATTTACAGAAACCGATGGGGAGCTGGATAAACGAGGCAGTAGACTGATGTTCTGTTAAAACCTGTTAGGATGGGATGTTACAGTAAGTAGTACTTGTTTTCCCTCTGGTCTCCTGACAATGTTTTGAACTGCACCCAGCCTTTTTTAAACTTAGTTATTTGGCATCTTAAGTTGCAGCAAGTCACCCTTCCTTGAGCAGGAGTTAATCTCCTCTGCAGAGGGTTTATTCACTCCAGTCTCTGCTCCTGGCCAGTGTTGGCAGTCGGTCGGTTGCTCCAAGGTAGGGCCAGCTTGTGGGGGCTCCTGTTCCCAAGTCAGACCTGGGTGACAGCTTCTCCCTTGGAAGGGTGGTTTTGCTGTGAGCGTTGTGCAGCTCTCTGGAGGATGTGCCCTGTGTAATGGGGAAATGCATGAATTTGCTCAGGCTCTGTGGATCCCTGCACGGCTCCCAGGCATGGAGCTGCCTTCACTAACTTCTAGTGTGCATCCCAAGTGAAGGTGGCGTTTGGGAGCGTTGAAATGAAGCTGTGAGGCAAATGACTGCTTGTGCTGAAGTACTGCCAGCTCTGCTGAGCTCGGAGTTAAAGCAAACAACAGCAGAGAGCAGCTCCCACCCACCATGGAGGAACAGGTGAGTGTAATGCCCGTGCCCCTGCAGCCAGAACGAGGTGGCAAACACAAGGCAGATGCATAAGGAAGCAGAGGAGCAAGGTTCCTTGAGAGTTTCCATGAAATTGGTGCTACACAGTTGTAAGGCCACGTCCTCATTACTTTGAAAATGTCTTTGATGGACCATTTTTGTGGCAGAGCTTCTAGCAGGATCCTTTGTGCTGCTCTTGGAGCCCCGCGGCTGCCTGCGGAGTTAAAACAGGATCAGCTACAATGCAGGAAAGGGGGTCGGAGCGGGGCTGTAGGCAGCTGCCTGCAGAGCCACCTCTGCCCCCTCACGTGGTTCATTTGCCTCTTTCCTGCTGCTGCTCTTGTCAAACACATGAACCGTCATTACCCAAGAGGAAGCACTGCCAACGCCATCCAAATGGGGCTCCGAGGGTCCAACGGGCACCTTTAGCAGGGCTGGTGATAGTGTTAAAGAAGTGTAAAGGCATCCTGCACTTAGAGTATATCGGTGGATCGAAATAAAGCAGTCATGGAAGTGTTTTGGGTCTCATTTCTCAATATTCTCCAGCAGCTCTTCAGTAACTGTGTTTTCTAAAGACTCAGCAATGAAACTAGGAAGGTAAAAGGGCACCTTTGGCTTCTTGTCGCTGGGCGCTTGCCTCAATGACTTGTGCAGTTCAGCCCAGTGCAGGGAAGGTGGTGACTTTGTCATCATGATTTTTTTGGTACTTGACATACTGATTCTGCATTATTTCATTTGCCAGCTTCCTAAGCCCTGAATTCATTCCACCGATAGAAACTGCTGTCATTAGATGCTCTCCCACAGCCGTGGCGCTTTGTCTGCTCTTCTACGTCCCCTATAATGCTGTGGCATCCTAGTCTGCCTTAAAGCACTCAGTGCCTTTGGCTTTGCTGCTCCCACTCCCATCTTGCTGTATCAAGTGTTTCTTCCTAATATGCTTTAAAAGCTCTAGAGTTGCTCCGGCTTCTGGTAGGTGCAGTAAGAAAAACAAGAGATGAACATCAGAGTGAGCGTTGCCATGAAATGTGTCTGCCCCAGAGGGCCTGTAGTTAAGCTGTGCAAGTTGTGCCCTCATCCCCGCAACGAGGTGAAGAAATTGCCTAGAGCTGTCAGCATAAGGCAAAATGGGAGTGTATTTTATTTTATTGTGCTTTAAAGTTAGAAGTTAAACAAAAATACATTCATATTGGGTTGCTTGTAGATTTCTGAAAAACGTAAAACAATCATGGATTTAGTTTGCACTGGATTAGCAAGTATTCCATTTGCACTGGAGTAACACATTTCACTTGAATTCAGTCATAACCTGAAATAACAGTGTAATCTGGATTTCTAACAAACTAGATTTCGAGCTAAATTCATTTTTATCTTCTCTAGCAAATCCCAGCTTTTTACCATATGTTTGGATATTTTTTCTACAGTAGAGAACCAGTGGCCATCTCTCTTTGCTCACATACCTTTTCATGCGTGGAACAGTCTTCATTCTTAAGGGATAACAAAATAAAGTCTTAAGAAGAGATCAAGGGGTGAACTCATGGACAGATTTGCAAATGCAGAGGGACCTGCTTGGACCTGTTCTTCCTGCAGATGTTCTTGCGTTGGAGAGCACAGGACTGACCAGTCTGATTACATCGAGCCCCACATTTGTGGACTTGTGCTCTTGAATCCTACTTATACAAACTTCTGCCACCCACTGCAGTCACTTTTACCACAGGAAATTTCTTCTTTTTGTTTACCAAATTTCAGCATTTTCATAGCTTAATGATTATCTTTCACTCTCTCACACACGAGTCATGCTGTATCTAAGATTTCCCCCACTCTGTAATAAGGCAGTGTTGTTACCCTACTGCTTTTCTTGAGATTTTTGAAAAAACTATTTCTGCTGAGAAAAGTAAAACTTCCATGTGCTCTCTCAATACTTATACTAAAAATTAAACAGAACCATTATCTGACATTTAGGAAAATCTGATGCTAAGAAAACATTTTAAATGGCCATACTGAACAGGAGAAGTGAATTAATGCAAGAGCTTGTGTCACATTAAAGAATTCACATGAAGGTATCAGCTAATAGCACCCTAAATTGCAGTAGGCACTTGATAACATTGATGCCCAGCATATGAGCATTGCCCTGAAGAATCAAAGATATCAACAGTTCATTCATATTTAATTAATGTTCACATATAGCACAGCAGTAAAGTATTTCTGGATTTAACAGGCACATAAAAAAGTACTTTTTGACATCTCTAACATTCAAAAATTAAAACTGTCAAGACTGTAGCCCTCTATGAGGACTAGTCATTGCTGAAGTTAAAAGTTCTGCTGTTTTTAGAATTTGTTTTACTTGAAAGGAATGGTTTTTTGCCTCATACCATTACCAGGACAATATTTTGTTCAATGGCTACTCATAGGTTTTGCCTGAGAAGCAAGCATTAAAAGCTTTAGCTCCGAAGAATCTTTGAAAGTTCAAATGGAGCTGAAATCGCTGAAACTTCCTGTTAAATCTACGATATCACTTTAATTCTCTTAAATGACGCCTGCATGCACGTGCAGATCTACTTTATATTTTAAATTAGAAGGTGAGAGAAAAAGGACTAGGACAGTAATGAATATCTATCCCTCTGTAGCAATGTCTACACAGAATTTACAAATCCAAAAATACCACTCCTCCCACGTGCTATTTTGGGTTGTTATCACTTGTCCTTGACCATTGCAACGACAAAGGGAATTTTTACAGTCTTAAATGTCTGCAGCCTGAGAAATATATTCCTTCCTGTTTACTTTCTCCCGTTAGCTGAAGAATTCAGGCTTCTTGCTCCCCCGCTCCCTTTATCTCGTTGTGTTTTAGTGACCCAGCTCCCAGCCTGGGCCCTGCAGCTCCTCTTTACTGCTAGTGAATGTGGCTGGAGAGGCTCCCTTCAGCAGCCGCAGGTACGCAGGCAGTGGCTGCACTTCTGTCTGTGCTGCAAGTTTGATATATTCTGCTATTATTTTTCCTTTACTAACATGGGCAGTTACTTTAAAATACTATCTGGTGTTCTCTGAGGCCTCTCCCCTCCCATGTGGAAGGTGGTCCACAAGGGAAATGTAAAGCAATAAAGGCTGACTGGTAGGGGTGAGAGTTACAGGAAGCCAAGCTCCATGGATGCGCTACCATACTGAGGAGTGCTGGGATACCCTCTCCTGGATGGAAGTTTAGTGCAAAGAGATTCCTTGAGGCAGCCCTAAGGAATCAGGTCCCTTACAGAAGCCAACAGCTGGTCCTGAGTGAGACACCACCAGCACACAGCAGGCACACAGCAGCACCAGCGTCATTTTACTCTCAGCAAGGAAAGTTGGCACACGCAGAAAAGCCTGTTGGCTTTGCCAGGCCACCAGCACTTACCTTTGCCTTATTTGCTTAATAATGATTCTGCAAAGTCTTCTTATAATAATGATAGCACCTTATTTGGGCTATGTATGCTAAAACAGCCTCAATTTAGTGTCACCAGTTGGTTAAAAGTTTCCAGCAGAGTCAACTTCCTACACTCGGTTTTCACCAGCAGATTTGTGCAAATCTTGGCACAGCTGATAACACTGTGGCCGTTCTGCCAGAGTCAATAACCAGATATCCTAGCACAGCTCTACTTCATCTGTGCTTGATCCCACTAAGTGCATAGCAGCAAGATTCAATCCTGTAAAATACTCAAGCACAGTGTTTATATTATTGCTGTCAGTTCAGGTCATCCCTAACTCAGCACAAGTTCCCTATGTGAGAGGGGCATTTACAAATAGGACTAGAAGTGTATCTGAGCAAGCCGTGACTCTCAAAACAGTGTGCCTACTATTTGTGTGCAAATACTCTTAGATATTGCTGCATATCTAGTACTTAGGCACTGGCCAGACTCCACAGTGAGAGGATGAGAGGCACAAACAGGCACAAACTGAAACATAGGAAGTTCCAGTTGAACATGAGGGAAAACTTATTTACCGTGAGAGCGACTGAGTGCTAGAACAGGTTGCCTGGAGGGTTGATGTGTATATTTCCATCCTCAGATATATTCAAAAGCAAAGAATTCAAAAAAAAAAACCGTGTGCCCTGTGCTTTAGGTGACCCTGCGTGTCAGGGGGGTGGACTAGATGATCTCCAGAAGTCCCTTCCAAACTTAATGATTCTATGATTCTGATTCTATTCCCATATGAAATTTTATCTTGTATAAATTACATATTGGGAATAGGCAGACACTGAAAGGCAATCTTGCTGTACAGATGTGAGGACCTAGGTAGATATCATACAGGATCAAGAGATCTTGGATGGTTCCTTGATATTCTTATTCCTCGATGCTGAAAATACTTGGCAATTTATAATGAAGTATCTAGTATTAATGACAGACATGGATTTCTGCAATGAAAGATCCCACGGAGTTTAGCGAAAAGAGCAAATGTTACTACTATATTCTGGATGAATTACATTCTGGCTACACGCTGCCTCCTTAGTACGTGTTCTGATAGGTTGTAAGTTCACAGAGCTCTTCATTTCTTCCTCCTCAGCTTTTCTGCACTGTAGGTTATCCTGTAGGTTCCTTTCACTGTGGTTCTGTGATGTCTGGTCATTTTATCCACCAGTGAAATCCCCCTAGTCTGTACAGAAGCAAACATCAAAGCTGCCAGGGAATCTTCAATGAAAAGAGTGACCAAAGAATCAGCCTTTCTCTTTTCAGCATTAACCTTTGGACAGTAGTAAGCGTCATCTATACGAAATAAAGGCTTTCTCCTGAAAAGCTCCTCAAAGGTTTTTTCTTCTTCATTTTCTTCTTTTATTGCTCTACCGAACCCACAGGCAGTTTTGCAGAACCGCTTCGTCACAGCTCTGGTTGCTGCTCTGCTCGGGCTCTCCCGGCAGAGCTGCCTCCGCGCTGCCGCTCCGCCGGGCCCGCACGCGCAGGCGCGCGGCCTCGGCGCTGGGAAGGTCCCTCTGCCTTCGGACAGGAAAGCTGCTCTGCACCGGGAGGGCGAGGGATGTTATGGCACCCTTGCGGCGTCAGAGAGAGCTCGTAGTTTTGCTGAGGTACACAAGCAGTTGTTTTACGTTTCCCCATGGAAACAGTTGATTCAGACAAGCAGTTAATTTCAGCCTTCACCTTTTAAACAAGCTGTTTATCCCGATTGATGGTTTTCCTCCTGTCTGCCCTTATGAAGCTAACGGACTGTGGGAAAGAAGTGGAGCCCAAGGAATTGCTGACATTGCCCTGGAGAATTCAGAATTACAGCTCAGTGGGAAAAGAAGGGGAAAACTACTAATCACTAACAACACTTACAACTAATCACTTTGATTTTTCAACTTCTAGGCAACAAATTTTCATGTTTTTATTTGTAGCAAGCACTGTTTATTAAACCAAGTTCTGAATCCTGTATTAATGACATCTAACGGAATTACAAAGGAACAAATATATTAACTAAGGATGCAATCTTATTTTGAATAGAAGTGCTTATAAAGACACCTCGGAAAAATGCATTTTCCACAGACTTGTTTTTTTTTGCCGCATCTTGGCTTTTCTAGTTGGCAAGAGCTGCTTTTTGACAGAAATATGTTAATAAATCTGTTTGTTCTTTTTTTAGTGAATACAGCAATATGTCTTGTAGCCATCAGTGTCTCCACAAGGGGAAAAACAACAAAAATACCACAAAGGATCCTAATCATGGATTAAATAAACCTCGTTCACAGGAGACCTGCTGTTAACAGTCCCACCAGTCGCTTTTCCTGAAGAGCGTGTAACTGATGTCTTACATAAGCGGTTTTACTCCTCCGTACAGATTCAGGTAAAGCTTCAGATGACAGAAACTTAAGGGCCGTACTACTTAGAGAAAAAATAAGCTCCTTGTTCCCCTTCATCTACTGCGAAAGTAGCACAGCCCATCTGGCCAAGCAAGCCTGGATGATGCTGAGGGCCTTGCCGAAACAGTCGCTGTAGTTGTTCCTTCATAATCTCATCATTTACTCCAGGTAACTCCTCTGTAAGTGTCTCCAGTTCTGGTTTCCATAGCTGTGTCCCAAGGTTTTCCTGACGGCTGCTGCACAGCCCCAGCCCTGCAGCCGCCCTGACCCGCACATTTTTGGGCAGATAGAGCCAAATAATGGCAATGCCTCTCAATTCAGCCCAAGATTTCTAGTGCCACAGATCCCCACAGGATATTTCCCTGTACGCTCACTAAGCCTCACTGTATACTTCTTTACCATCCAAACAGAGCTTGTGTCAAATTATGCTTTATAGGTTTAGGAATTATGCTTTGTAGGTTCATAAAAAGATTCAGAAGAAGACTTTGGAGCAGGAAGAGGAGAAGTACATGATTAGACAGTACAGCAAGGAAACTTTAAACTACTTAATGTTGCAAAGAGTAATGAATATATTCGATGGCACCTGTCTTGTTGGCATCTCCTTCTTTCTGCGGAATGAGTCAAGTACGACAGTTGAACTATAAGTGGGGCGGATTTGAGCACTAAGGACATGACTACAGGGCTGAGTACAGAAGGATACGTTTATTCTGACATGTGCTCTGACACAGAGGGAGCAACCTGAGTGTGTGAACCTGCCCAAAAGCAGGGCTGCTGCTGCCAGCAAAGCTGCCCTGTACCTGAGGATCTGTGAGGAGAATACAAAGTTTTGTCTTTGACAAAACCTGCCCTCTTACCTATTTGCTTCTTCTATAAAACTGTTATTTATTGTTGTGACTCAGAAGACTAATAGTTTAAAGGAATATTTTATGAAGAAAAAGTTTGGGTTTTTTTTTCCACCTTTGTGATCAGAAGCGACTGTCACCTCAAACTTACATATAAATTCACCTACAAACTTCTTGTCTTAAAGGTACAATATTATTAACTTCATCTTCAGGCTAGGGAGGTCAAGTCCTCTAGAAAGGATCATACAATGAGAGACAAGGGCTCTCTTTGGAGGTTAATCCCCTTAGCCCTTTCCTGTAAAATTTCCATTAGTCCACAGAGTTGACAAGGTCTTAATCCTGAAATAGATCTCAAACTGAGCAGCTGTCCAGGAAAAAAAAAAAAAAAAGCCCCCAAATCTTCCATGGTTTGTCCTTGGAAAGCAGCCCAGAACAATCTGATTTGAGGTTCAGGATCTCAGGGAGGGGTTGAGAGATGTTTTGTTAGGGTGGAATTAGGGCTATTACCATACAGTTAAAATAAAATAAAACAATAAACCCAAACAGGAACACAGACCACATCAGTGCTGGACACTGTGTGGGTCTCATATCATTTATCTGTGCTTTCATCTTCGTAGTGAGTGATGGACTCGCTATGAGTATTTTATGTCTTCAGCACTAAGAGCTGCTCTCTCTGCCTCCAAACCTGTTCTCTCTATGGCTTCAGTTTCAGGCCTGAATGATGTGTAAAATCCCTCTCTCCGGGTGCAGAGGCAGCACAGGAACCCGCACAGACACATCCTGCAATGGACATCTTCCCTACAGGGACACGGTCCCTGCCAGCTGGAGGTGCAAACCTGCCACCAACGATGCTTTTTACCCATTAACCGCTTGATATAAATAATCTCCAAATGAGATCTCCACATGAAATGCTATTTATTCTCACATAGTGACTATAATTGTGTTAATCTTACCCCTAATCTCAATTTTTATACATACAACGTACAAACATACACATATAGTAACCTATAATATGCATGAATGCAATATACGTGCACATAATAAACTGTGCCTATTATCCAGAGGATGTTTAACTCACTGCTTACATGCTGCCTCCTTGGCGTTACAACGGAACAGCAAATGTATGTTGTGCTTATGTTCACAGATACATGGATTATTTTGGCCAAAAATATACCACTCCTGATGGCTCTGTGTGGTGCCTGTTACCACAAGAATATAAAATATGTAACTCCAGCTGGCCAATCTGGAGTTTAGTGAGAACACTCATGGCAAGTATCAACTTAACACAAGAGGTTTTCTGTCTCTTAGAGAGCTGAAATGACACACATAACAGCAACCTAGCTCCTCATACTGCCCTGAAGCATCAGCTCCTTCAGACTCAGGGAGAAGTCATTCTGACTCATTTTCCTAGCCAGAAAATTAGACCATTTCTGTCTCTACAGCTCTCCAAACCAGAGGTTTTACATTTTAAAGGAAAATATTAAATTGCTCAAAACAGATCATTGCTTTTAATGGATGGAGTCTTCTGACAGGATACGTAATTGTCCTTGATGAACTATATTCTTTTTTTCAGTTCTGTCCATGTGACTCTATTGAAATTGGGTTAGTTTAATAAAAAGAAGTACTAGAAACATCAGAAATTGCATCTTTTTTTTTAAGAAGATGATGAGAAGGAAAAAGTTGAACTATTCCATTTTATTTGCCCAGTCAGTAGAAACCAAAGCGCTTCCTTTAAGAATTTATATAATATTCCTGCCATCCTGTACCTTTTATAAAATATTTTAAAATGCAGGACCGAATAGGAGCAATGTTTTAGCACGTATCTGTAAATGCTTATTGTTTACAAGTTCATTGACAGTATCTGTTTTGCAAGGCCCTTTAAGGAATATCACAAAACAAAAGGTCTACAAAATTAAAAGTATTTCACTCAGAGTACAAAACCAGTTTTTTTACTAGTGGCAGTGATTGAACATTATTATTAAATACAGACCATTTCCTATCTGTTTTTTTCTTATTTTGAAGGCTGCCTTAGGATAAAATGCTTCAGTTTAGATAATATAGTTTTAGAAAACATCCACTTATTTCTGTAAATTGTATGCTAAAAATTTTTCTCAAAACACATGATATTTTAGTAAGATGTAATTCTCATTTGTGTCATTAATCATTCTGACCATTTTAATTTAAGCAATAAGTATGGTGAGTACAGCATTGAAAAAAATAATTTAATAAGTTTCACAGTTGGCAGAGAAGGTCAATCTGCTGTAAATCAGGCTTGGTGACTGTCTGTCTGGAATATAACCTCTGTCTTGCAAAGTCAGTCAGCCCCATAAGCTCCCCGTCAACCTTCATGCAAAGCTGTCAGGCGATGAGGCATCACCTGATTCACTTGGTAGCTGGTGCTGGTTTAAAAACACGTCTCGTTTTGCAGAGATGTGTGAACGGTGTGGGAAAATTGCTTGAGAAAGGTGAAATAAGAGGAAAACTAGGGCCTAGCAAGTTATGGCATTACAGAGGCTTGCTTGGGGTGAGAGGCAGTCGCCCCTTCTGCGATGGTTGGTGTGTATGGAATCTACTTCTCCACAATTCCCTCGGCAACACAATCTGCCTCCAAGCACACACGAATAAGAGTGAACGAAGAGTGGAGCAGAACGGAGACACCATGGCCAAACTTCGCTGGATTCCCTGCGGAGGAGGGAGCCTGATGGTGCCGTGCAGCTGAGGAGTGAATGGAGGGTGGAGTGGAGTGAAGACACCATGGCCAAACCCTGGTACTCCCTGCAGAGGTGGCACCTGGTCCTACCACACAGCTGATAAGCCTCATAGTGTGATGTCTGGTGCTGGGGGGCAGATCAGTCCCTTCCAATGGGCTTTGCTCAAACTTCTCATTCTAACCTCATTATAATACCAATACATAACCCCATCCCAAAAGTCACCTGCCTCCAAGGAACGACCACTCCTCACTGATCATGCTCTCTAGATCTTCGATTGACTTGAGAAGTTTTTAAACTAATCAACAACAAAAGTAAGTATGATTGCAGACACTCAAGCTCCCCCTAAATGTAAAAAAAAAATATGAAAGGGGAATTAAGAGGGAAGAAGATTGAGGAAAGACTCCATGGTGACTTCTGGGATAGGTTGAAGGGCTGAACCCCTTTCCTCCCCTCGGGTCAGGACGCCACCTGAGGACACTCCTCGAGGCTGAGAGTTCTCTCCCATCTTCTGGGGTGAGGGATGATTGCGCATTTGTGCATCAGAGCTAGCTAAAAACCCACGCTGTAGTAGAGAATTTTCTGTACTGACATCCAAAACCTGTTCTCTAAATGTTGCATTTGAATAAATCATGCTGTTCATGACCTCAACTACTTGTTTGGAAGGCGGTCGGACCTACAGTGGACAGACTGAATCCGGTACTGCCGAAGCCGGGCCTGCAGCTACCATCTTACTAAGAGATGAGTCCAGCCGCCCCCGGTCCCTCTAACCTCTGAGGATCGGCTGGAGTGCAAGAGGATTCATCTCTTGCCAGATTTGTCCCCACTTCAAATCGCAACACATGGGCAGAGGATGAGCCAAGTGCAAGCACAAGCCTATACACAGTAGGCAATGCCAGACAACCAGTGTGTGAACTGCTTGTTTGCTGATGGTTGGGATGAGGACATGTACTTCATGTAGAAAGGTTTCCCTGACACAAAGCAGCCTGGTTTTGCCAAGAGAAGCACATTCCTCGCCCCACCTATGCAATCATCACTGCATAACTGTGCTAAGTAGCACTGAAACAACTGTGATTTGGGATGTCCCTCAGGCATCCACACTTTCTTTCTATGTTCCAGCTCCATGCATAGCATCTGCTGGATTATTCACTAGCTGTTCATCTAGTAAGTACAAAATCTCTGGCTCATCTGCAGTCAGCATACTGCAAAGTCTCACCCCTGATCATCTTGCCACATCAATCTGCATCAGTAACCTACGGTCTGACCAGCTTCCTCATCTCTTTCTATAACAACGAGCTACTCTGGCAAAGAGTTCCTTCTTTTATATGCCCTATCAAGCAAATACTGACCTGCCAGCAGCTGCATTGGTCTTCCATGTTTGAGAACACAAGCAGAAATGTGTTTTTTTTTTTTGGTGGTGGTGTTTTGTTTTATTTTATTTTATTTTAATAAAAAGGTTTGTCAGGGACTCATATTAGTCTAGAGAACCTATAATTAAAAAGGTTTTATACATATATATGTTTCCTTCCTCTGGAATTTCCCTGGTACATGAGCATGTATTTAGAATGAGCACTTCTGCTTTTTTTCCCCTTTTCATTCTCTGCACTGTTATGGCATATATGGCATATATCTAGAAATGGACTCTGTGAGGAGGGGGATGTCTGCTTTCATTCCTAACACATTTTCAAACCTATGAACTCTACGAGCATTTGGTTTACCTCTTCCGTCTACCTCTTCCACATGACATTCTGCCTGCTGTGTCTTAAACGTCTACTAATTGCTTAGTGGTGCCATTTCCCCCTCCCTTTTACGTCACTGATGCCCAGGGAATCATCTTAAATGCCATGATTCTCTTGGTGCATTAAGTCCAAAATAGGATCACCACATATTGTGTGCTCTGTTATTTGGGTTAAGAAAAAAAAATTCCTGAATTTCAGCTTGTGGTAGCAGACGCCCCTCACGTCACTTACTCTCCTCCTCACACATACAGGCAGAATATAGACAGTTTTCTGTAAAGAAAATCACACTATTTTTTGGTTTGATTAGGGTTCTTTCACTGATCCCCAGCAACTCTTGGGTTTTGCCAGTTGAAATGATGTGTTCAAGCTTCTCTGTATCTGAGTTGTTAACAGTGCTGGCACAAGTTAGAGCTTCTTCAGAACAAGTTATAGTGTCCTATCCTACCTCACATGCACTTTTGCACAAATTTTTATGCTTGCAAAATAGTTTAAATATATTTTTTCCAGACATTCAAGTTGTCCAAGAAAACTTCAGAAATGCCACTCATTATGCATTTCTTTTCATCAGGGAAATTTTTAATTCCTCTGGTTTGTTTCCCAGGCTGCTAGGATGAATACCACATTATGTATACAGGTTTGCAGTGTATTTATTCCCTCAGCATCCTTTGCAGATTTAGTCACCACACAATCCCTCGGGCTGCTCACGCTCGTTGCCATCCAAGAGGATTAATCCTCACCAGTGAAACCTTCCAGCCACCATTGCTGCAACGTGGACGCATGCACCATGAAGCCCAGAAATCCTGTTCGTACCAGCGGAGACCCCAGCAATTTCTGTTGAGTATTTTCCCCCTTTCCAGCTTCTGGGAACGCCAGGGCCTCAGGGGCACCCAGAGCAGCCGCAGCCCCAGCCACGGAGCTGCAGCTCAGGTAGGGACCAAGCTCAGCCTGGCAGCAGGAGCTTGTCTCCAGGAGCAGGGAGGCCGAAGAGTGGGATTGTGGAATAGCGCGGGAAGGGGTTTTTATTCACACTTCCGCAGGGTGCCGATCTATCCATTCCGAAGCTTCGCAATCAGGAGTGTCTGCATTTGCCGTCCTGGAGAGTCTTGCTGCTGTGTGCTGCATTTTTGCCCGGGAGAGGCATGTTCTTTGCTGCGAGTCCTCAATAATTAAAATTCACATCAAAGGCCTCTGGGAACTGACATGGTTTGTGAGAACAGTTACAGCTCTCTCAGCCCTGGGAATATCCGCACCACAGTTAGGACATTCCAACAAAAGGCACTCTCATGGAGGACAGGGCTTGTTTAACAAACATATTTTACATATTAAGTACTTTAATTCCTATAATTAATATAGTACATCTGCACATGAGGTGTGAATATGACAGGAAGAACTTAACTTTCTTTTTTTTTTTTAAATAAAAAAAGAAAAAAACCTTAGGAAAAAGTTCCTCCTCGTCCTTTTTTTCTCTCATACCTTTATTTTCTTCACTCTCCACTCTCCTTTTCCTTGGGTAAATCATTAAAAAGAAGAAGCGTATAAAAGAATCAAAATAAATGAGTATAACTTTTACTTGATGGCTTTCTTTAGGGTGTTTTTGTTTTTATTTTTTTATTATTTTGGGCATTCTTCTTTAGAATATTTTTGTTTGTTTGTGTGTGTGTTTTTTTTTGGAGGGGAGCTCTTGAGCCCCTCTTTCTCTGAGCTTTCCCTGGTGGCCCTGATGTATCTGTGAATTCTGCCCGTTCCTCCCCGCTTCCACTGTCCCTTTCACTCAGCTGTTCTTTACTAATTCAAGGAGCAATGGACTTAAGGGATGTACAAGAAGAAGAAGAAGAAAATATTTAGAGCCTGAACAACACATTTAGAGCCTGAGCAGGCTCAGGTGCGAGAGGAGGGCCTGAGCGCACGGCGGGGCCAGGGGCTCTCTGCTCTTCCCACACGAGCCCAGGACGCTGCTTGTCAGCAAGAGGGGCCATTACAAGCACATGGAGATGCTGTTCAGCACTGCCAAACGTGTCTCACTGTACGTGTGGAAAAGATAATATAAAGCAGCAAAGGATTTGTAACTGCTTATCCTAGAGGGAATGACATTTACAGTTTCTCTCCAACAGGGAGAACTGATTTTATTTTAATCAATACCCTTTTCTTCACAAGAAACAAATAACAATTGCCCTGCCAGAAATCAGATTATATGATTTACTTGTTTCTACAAATTAGGAGCAAATTTCATGGTGCCAGAATCTCCAAACACATTACTGAACCTGTCAAGTATATCCCCATGGCTATGCTGAGGCTCTGGCAACTGAGTGAGTGGGTAAAATACACTCAGGTTCTTACTCTTCATCTTCAGCACCTGAACACTTGTCTTTCTTCTGGCAACAAGCTGTATCTTTTTAGTTCTTTGACACTTCTCAATACTATATTTGTGTTGGCTATCATTTAAGTAATCTGAAGAATGAAACTCACCCTAGAAAAAAAAAACCTGCTATGTTTTTGATGCAGAGGTTGATGTTACTTGTGATTGCCATTGGTAGAACAGTGTGAACTATCTCCCCTTCTAGACCAGGTTTCTGTCATTTGCGTTAGAAACACAAATTCACACATTTCATTCACTGAAGTTTCCTTGTGAAATAGCAAATATATCTTAAAAGATATTTTCATGAAGTTTCAATCAAGTAAAATAGTTAACTTTTCCATTTTCATTTCTGTCAGAAACTGTTACTGACTTGATAGAACTCAGTTGTTCCTCTGAAGCTGTGGGGAAAAGTACATGTTGCCAAGTTAGTTGGGTGTTCCTCTTGAAACAGACTTATCTGGAATTTATCTGATTAAAATTATGTGTCCACAAGTTATCTGAAATGAATCCACCTTAAGTGGCTAGTGACTGTATACAACTCAATCCACAGATCTCAATAAGCCAGGCATATCAGGTAATGGTAAACAGTAACATTTTCTGTGGCTGAGACAGAATTTTCTGTTCTTAGCCAGATCACCCCTTTTATTTTGCTTAATACTGATGTCTGCAGTTTGGGATAATATAGTATGTAAAGTTTTGGAGAATATAGTGCTTCAGACTTCCCATCCAAGAAAAGACAGTAAGCAGAAGTTCCAAGAGAGAGAGGAAGACAGAAATGATGAAGCGCAGCAGCCACTCGCAGCAGCGAGTACTGTCAGCGGAAAGATGCAGCTATGGACAGCGTACCACGGCAAGGGATGCTTAGAGAAATCTGCTAAAACTGGGCTGCAGTTGTTTCCTTGGGCTCTGTTTGCTGTTAGAAAAAGGACACTCGCAGTTATGCTGTCAGCAGCTGCCCCCGGGCCCATACAGGATTCACACGGGGTGTCTCCCCCGCAGCCCTTCTAAAAGGCTGCGCTTCTGTGCAAGCAGTGGGAGCCAGTCAAGCTTTTCAGACACCAGTTAATTCTTTCTCACTGAAAGGTAGCCTATATTTCCACCGTAGTGTTTAATATACTAACACACTTGACTGAAGATCGATGGAAAATCACCCATGCAGGAAGTGTCAAAACTCAACAGCTACCCTTCTGACCAACAAGGTTTAAATGATATATATGGATCATTTCTGTTTGAAGGAAAACTGCAAAGGATAAATCAGGCTTTCTTTAGTCTATTCTTCTTTCTTTATGAAGAGTATACATAGAACATCATTTCCCTGAAAACACACGGTCCTGCGTCACTTGGAGTGACCCGCTTGGCCTCACAAGTAGCCTGCACCCTTGAGCATTGATTTCCATCATCCTTGCCAACCTTAATCCAGAACTGATCTGGCTTCTTTGATTCAGCCTGGAAGAGGAATAACATCCCAGTCAGTTCCACTGGCTATTGATGGAAGACATGAATAACAGAAGCCAGTATTGCTTTCCAGCAAAACACATTTTTTTAACAACTTATGGAAATCATTTACACACCCAAAAAACTGCAAATTTATTCAAAGAAGATAGTTTGAAGATTTTGTCTACATTTTTTTTCTTCTATTTACTTTATTTACATTTGGAGAAACTTAAAAGGTAAAAAAAAATCAATTTTGTATATGAATATGATACTGCTTGATAATGATATTTCTTGCTCCAGGAAACTTGACTTTTCTTCTCCTGGTGGCATTCTCTATTTTTTCCCCTCTATTCCTTCTCACATAACACAGCATTAATATTATCTGACAGAGAGAAAAACAAAACAAAACAGAAAAGGAAACTGCATTGTGATGCCTTTCATAAGCACTTTATTTCTTACCACTAAGCAATGGCTAAGAGAGAAACTAATCACAGTAGCTGGGCCTGGTGTGTGGGCAGCTTTCCATGAAGGCACCGCATTCAATTTGACAGGCATTAAGCCAGCGCATCCAACACCGCCAGAGAAAGACCCCTCTTGTCAAGGAACCTCTTAGCATTATTTTCTCATGCCTTTCTCATTGCTTGCTCTCACATCTCTGTTTTGCTATGGTCGGTTTAATGACAGTCGTTACCGGCACTGACGCTCTGCCCGGCACGAACTCTGTGGCTGCGTTTGCAGCAAGTCTTGTGCAGACAGTGATGTTAAAAACTGGACTGCTATGTGTGAATAAATCCTATGCAGCTTTCCCTCCCTTCTGATATATTGTCACTAGACATGGTAAAGCTATTTGTTCCACTTAGGCCACAAGTATCATTGCAGATATTGTTGCATATTTGCCGTTTATTTTATGTTTGAGCGGCAGATTGGGATTTTTGGAAGCTTTACGAAGACCAAAGCTCTAGCTGAGCCCTCAAGGCCAGCAGGACCTCGCCAAGCAGCCACCTGCGCCACAGCCAGCGCCTCCGCGCTGCCGTTACGGGCAACGGAAAAA